ACTGTATATGTACCCCAATTTCTTAATACAGTCATTAATTGAGGACATCTGGGTTGATTCCATATCTTGGTTGTTGTGTTTCAGTAAACATGGACTATTCATATGCTAATTTCATTTCATTTGGGTAAATTCTCAGGGCTAGGATTGCTAGGTCATGTGGTAGATCTATTTTCAATTTTGTATCATTGTTTTTTGAATCTCAGTTCTGCTTTCTTGTTTTCTTTTTTATTTTTAAGATTTATTTATGAATTTGAAAGGCAGAGAGAGAGGTCTTCCATCTGCTAGTTCACTCCCACAGATGCCTACAATGGCTGGAGATGTGCTGATCTGAATCCAGAAGCCAGGAGCATCTTCTGGGTCCCCAATGTGGGTGCAGTGGACCAAGGATTTGGATCATCTTCCACTGTTTTCCCAGGCCACAGCAGAGAGCTGGATCAGAAAACAAGCAGCCAGGACTCTTACTGGTGCCCATATGGGGTGCTGGCATTGCAGGCGACAGCTTTTACCCACTACAGCCCAGTGCTGGCCCCATTTCATAAGTTTTGCATGTTGTAGTGTCATCTTCATTCATTTCCAGGAATTCTTTGGTTTCCCATTTGATTGCTTCTGTGAATCACTGTTCATCATTCAATATTGTGTTATTCAGTCTCCATATATTTGCATATTTTCTAGAGATTCTTACATTCTAAATCTCTAGCTTTATCTCATTGTGGTCAGAAAGGACACATGGTATGATTTCAATAATTTGGGTTTGCTGAGACTTGCTTTATGGCCTAGCATATGGTCTATCCTAGAGAAGGTTCCACATAGTGATGAAAATAATGTGTATTCTGCAACTGTGAGATATTCAGTAGATATCTGTTCAGTCCATTTGATCCACAGTGTTTTTTTTTTAAGATTTATTTATTTGAAAGTCAGGATTACACACAGAGAGAGGAGAGGCAGAGGGAGAGAAGTCTTCCATCTGATGGTTCACTCCCCAATTGGCTGCAATGGTCAGAGCTGTGCCAATCTGAAGCCAGGAGCCAGGAGCTTCTGCTGGGTGCAGGGGCCCAAGGACTTGGGCCATCTTCTACTGCTATCCCAGGCCACAGAAGAGAGCTGGATTGGAAGAGGAGCAGCTGGGACTAGAACTGGCACCCATATGGGATGCTGGCACTTCATGCCGAGGTGTTAACCTGCTGCACCGCAGCACTGGCCCTGGCCCATAGTGTTGATTAGCTCTGATATTTCTTTGTTGGTTTTCTATCAAGTTGATCAGTCGATTGATGAAACTAGATGTTGAAGTCCTCCATTATTGGACTCCATGTTTCCCTTTATGTCAATTAAAAATTATTTTAAATAGCCTGGTGCTCTGGCATTGGTGTATATATTGGATGTTTATTATATCCATGTCTTCCTGTTAAATTGATCCCTTAATTATTGCATAGTACCCTTCTTTGTGTCTTTAAAAGAGAGTTACACACAAAGAGAAGGAAAGGTACAGAGAGAGAGGTTGTCCATCTGCTGGTTCACTCCCCAGTTGGCCTCAACAGCTACAGCTGAGCCATTCTGAAGCCAGGAGCTTCTTCCAGGTCTCCCACACAGGTGCAGGGGTCCAAGGACTTGAACCATCTTCTGCTGCTTTTTCAGGCCCATAGCAGAGAGCTGGATTAGAAATGGAACAGCCAAGACTTGAACTGACACCCATATGGGATGCTAGAACTGCAGATGGTGGTTTTACCCACTATGCCACAGCACCAGCCCCTGATGACATATTCTTTCAATTTCTGTTTGTTATGGAGAGTTTTTTTTTTTCACCTTCATTCATAAATGAGAGCTTTGCAGGACATAGTATTCAGGGGTGACAATCTCTGCATTCTCTCCTAGCCTGTAGAGTTTCTGATGAGAAATCATCTGTGTCTAATTGGATATGTTTCTGAAGGTAATCATGTTTCTCTTGTGTACATTTTATAATTTTTATTAATGCTTTACTGTTGAAAGTTTGACTGCAAAGTATCATGGTGAAAATCTTTTTAGGTCATGTGTCTTAGGAGTTCTGTGTGCTTCCTGTACATGAGTGTCCCTTTCTTTCTCCAGGTTAGGGGACTTTTCCATAATTACTTCACTGAATACACCTTCCAATGTAATCTCTCTTTCCATACTTTCAGAAAATCCAAAGATCTATTTATGTTGGGTCATTTGATAGTATCCCATCAAAAAGTTTTTAACTTACAATTTCATCCTTTTCTCTCATCCATGACATTTCCTAAGATTTACCTTCCCACTCAGATACTTTTTATTCTGCTTTACATGTATGTTGTTAAGAATTCCACTGTATTTTTTATTTGACATTAACTTCTCTAGTTATAATATTTTCTTTGGTTTCTCTTCTAAATCTCTATTTCACAGATATGTTTTTCTTCCAAGTTATATATGGATTTCTTTAATTCATTGGATTTCACATTTCATCCACTGCATAAAAAAATCAGAAGTGAATTCTATTCCTTTTTAAACATATCCCCAATGTTTTCCCTTGGATATCCAGTTTCATGCTTTGGAAATCTAGGAATATATAATATTACTGTTGACTAAAATTCCTGTACAACTTTTTCTGATACAATGATTCCTCTCCCTTTCAAGAATTGTTTTAAAACTTTACAATATTGTTTAGTCTTGATCTTTAAATCCTACCCCATTACTCTGGGTAAAGATAAACTCCATTCACAAAAGTTATGGTCATGACTGCATGTTTGGGCAGCCTTCTTCTCCATTAAACTTTTCATTTTCATTTGTTTGAGGTGATCCTTCCTCGTCAGGTCCCTGTTCAGGTGCCCCTTGCTGTGAACCATGCAGCAAATATGCAGGTTGAAGAGGTGATGGTGTGCAATGAAAGGAAAATAAAAGATTATAGAAAAGTAGGGGCCAGCAGAACTCTCTCCAAGCAAGGAGCAGGAACTTCTCTCTGTCTTGCCCTGTGGCTTTTATTTTTGCCCTTTTTGTTTTAAATTATTTGACAGGTAGAGTTACAGACAGTGAGAGAGAGAGAGACAGAGAGAAAGGTATTCCTTCCATTGGTTCACCCCCCAAATGGCTGCTATGGCTGGTGCTGTGCTGATCCAAAGCCAGGAGCCAGGTGCTTCTTCCTGGTCTCCCATGCAGGTGCAGGTGCCCAAGCACTTGGGCCATCCACCACTGCCTTCCTGGGCCACAAAAGAGAGCTGGACTGGAAGAGGAACAACTGGGACTAGAACCCAGTGCCCATATGGGATGCCAGCACTGCAGGCAGAGGATTAACCAAGTGAACCATGGTGCTGGCCCTATTTCTGCCAGATACCCTTGGTGACACCAGGACAAGCCTCTGCTTAACTAAAAACAGCATTCTCTACATGCAGATCTTGACCAGATATCATGTGATCACCACCTGACCCAGAAAGAGGAAGAGAATAGAACATTTGAGTAAAAAATTTCCTTGAACTACATCCCTGGAGGTGAGTGGGCCATGCCCCACTACTGGCTTTCCAAGCTGCAATGTCCCAGATTAGACTGTTCACATAACTCCCAGCTTCATTCTGCTGCATTCCTCAAATGGCTGCAGTGATATTTTCCACCTGGCCTCTGGCAATGTCTCTCTTTGGTCTCTTCCCCTCTAAATAGCCATTTAGTCCTTCCCCATTTGCCTCCAGTGGAGTCTTCTTTGCACTTCAGAGTGCAAATATCTTTAAGTAACTACCACATTCTATTGAAGCACCCTGTGCCTGAGGGAGTGAGTACTCATTTTCATGTAAAAATAATAATTATTCTAATTGTTGCAGGATACATTATGATGCTTATGAACATAGTTTATAAACAAGTTTACAAAAGTAGCACATAAAATTTTATTGGGTCAAGTATATAAATATTAATTATCAGTTCCTTGGACAATTTTTAAAAAGATTTATTTATTTATTTGAGAGGTAGAGTTACAGAGAGAGGGAGAGATGAGGAGACAGGTTTTCTATCCACTGGTTCACTCCCTAAATGGTTACAATGGCTGGAGCTGGGTCAATATAGAAATGAGGAACTAGAAGCTTCTTCCGGGTCTTCCACATGGGTGCAGGGGCCCAAGCACTTGGACCATCCTCTACTGCTTTCCCAGGCCAACACCAGAGAGCTGGAAAAGAAATGGAGCATCCAGGACTCCACCCGGCACCCATACAGAGTTCCAGTGCTAACAGCAGAGGCTTGACCTACTACATCATAGTGCCAGGCCCTCCTTGAACACTTTCACTGTCTTCATCTCATCATAGCCCAGGACCACTCACCTAGATGTAGTGGAGTTTTTTTTTTTTCCCCAGTACCTGGCCTGTGTTCTTTGCTATTTACCACTATTCTTGTTGCATCTTAACATAAACACATTCTTGCATAAGATGTCACCATCTTTGGTGTTTCAATGAACAGTAATCAGATAATAGAGACAAATATATTGCTTTAAATTTTGAAAAAGGATTTATATTACTTGAACCATAATTAAGGAGAGATCTTCAATCCATTGGTTAACTACTCCAATGACTACAATTGCCAGCTCTGGGCCAGACCAAAGCCAGGAACCTAAAGCTCCAACTGTGTCTCTCACATGGGTGGTAGGGTCCGAAATACTTGCAACAGCTCCTGCTCCTTTCCCAGGCACATTAGCAGGAAGCCAGATTGGAAGTATAACAGCCATAACTCTAAACATTGACCTTAAGGGATGCCAGCATCACAGGAAGCAACTTAACCCATTGAGACAAAACATTGCTCCCTCCCCAAATCTATTTTAAAGGAATTTTCTTTTCACCTTGGTCAATCTTGAGCATGTGTCTTTTTTAGTTCATCTGGCATGCTAGTTTTGTTTTGCATTTATACTTATGTTTACTGATTACCATGTGAACAGCTTTCAGAATCATTAGAAGAAACCCCAGTTCTAGAATATTAAGGGAAACTCTATTGTGATTTTGGAATTTTAAAATTATTTTAAGGGTAGGGTAGTTTCATTGTGATTTTGCTCTCTGTTGCCATATAGATTACAGAGGAAACTGTTATATATAAGTAGCAAATAAGACACTCAGAAAAATCCACTTCCAGTCTTTGTGATTAGTGATCCAGGACTGATATGTTGAAGATGAATGTGCTGTTACAGGTGTTGGTGTCATTTGAAGACCTGGCTGTGGACTTCACCAAGGAGGAATGGCAGAACATGAATCATTCTCAGAGGACCCTATACAGGGATGTGATGCTAGAAATCTATAGCATCCTACTGTCCTTGGGTAAGTAAAAACCAGCTTGTACCCAGGTAGAATTATTTTTTCTCAGTTGAGAATTCAACAATTTATAAGGTTTCATATCTGGTTGGTATAGGATTTCAGGCCGTGAAAAATTTTTCCCTCTAGAAAGCAATTCAACTTGGCCTTTTTCTGGCACTGCTTCTGGGCCCAAGCTGTTGTCCCTCAAAACCCAAAGTTAGTGGTTTCACAAAGTCAAACATGATTTCCTATTAAAAGGGCACTGCATAAACAAGCCTGAGGTGATCTTCAAGTTGGAACAAGGAGCAGAACCATGGATGGTGGAAAAACCCCTGAACCAGAGCCTTTCAAGTAAGTGAGCACATGTTGGTCAGGGTGACTGGGACAGAAAGCTCAGCAGATGCTGACTGCAGCATTACTCACTAACTTTTCCTAAATCCCAGAATTTCTGCCAGCTGGTATCATACATGCAACAAAGGCATTCTACAGCCTCCAAGTAAGGCTGCCTTGCAAATATCCATCTAGCTGCTTTCCTGCTCTTGCTGAATATTTTCTTAGATTAACCAAAATGCAAGTGTTTTCTGGCTTTTATAAAGCTGTTTTCTCAGTTTGATACATCCCCTGAATTCTAACTTTTCTTTCTTCCTACCTTCAAAGCCTGTTCTGTGACATTTATTCAATTATTTATTCATTCTTTCAGTGCTTATTAATTGGCCAGCTCATAGACAATGTTTTACTACTTGCTGAAATTGAATTTCCACTTCTGGCTTTGAACAGACACAGGCCTTGTTATTGCTCAAATTTGTGGATGAAACGAGTGAATGGGAGCTCTCTCGTTGTCTCTGTCAAATAAATAAGAAAATAATAGGTTTTGCAAATATTTAAAAGGTGAAATGGCTCTGTCCTTATTCTTTCTGGCTCTCATTCTCTCATTCTCTGATCCATAAGTAAATAAAAAAAGAGCCTTTGTATTGTGACATCAGAAATCACGATACTAAGCATGACCTTACATAGGAACATGAAAATTGGTGGTCCTATGCTCACCAGGAGATTGACATCTAAGGACAAGTGTACCTGTGAATTTTATTGAGCAGCTCTTGTTTGTTTGGGAGGAGAGTTTGAACTTAGAATTCCTCTTTCTTTTTCTTTCTAAAAAGATATACTTTATTTTTTGAAGGCAGAATGAAAGAGAGACAGAGGAAGATCTTCATTCTGCTGGTTCACTCCTCAAATGGCCATATTGGCCAGGGCTGTACTAGGCTGAAGCCAGGAGCCTTAAACTCCATCTGGGTCTGATACATGCATGGCAGGGGACCAAGTGCTTGAGTCATTTTCCATTCCTTTCCCAGGTCCATTAGCATGGAGCTGGATCAGAAGCAAAGCAGCTAGTTCTCAAACTAGCATTGCAAATATGGGATGCTGGTATTGCAGAAAGTAGCTTGTGCTGTGCCATAATAACCCTCTCTTTTTTTAAAATATAATTCTAAAATGGAAAAGAGATAAATGTATAAGGGACTCAGCTTTTCTTTGAAAGGAGTTGACAAGAAATCCTCCAACACAGAAATCAAAAACATTCAAAACTTCAAATTATCAAACAGCAGTGTATAGAAGAAAAATAATAGGGAAAAGTAATGTCCACTGGAAAGTATTCAACATACTATTCCATTTAGAAAGTGAGTGGACATTTTTATGAAATGCTTTTCCACCTTCAAAAATGGTTATTTATCAGAATATTCTTGCAGCGTAGTGGGTAAAGATACCACCTGCAATGTTGGCATCCCCTTTAGAGGCTAGTTTGTGTCCTGGATGCTCTACTTCCTATCCATCTACATGTTAATGTGCCTAGGTAAGTAGTGGAAGATGGCCCATGTGTTTGTAACCCTGCCACAAATGTGGGAGACCCAAAGTTCCTGACTCTTGGCTTCTTTCTGGTGTGGCCCATGTGCATTATGGCCATCTGGAAGTGAACCAGCAGATGGAAGATCGATCTCTCTCTCTCTCCTATTCTCTCTCTTTAACTGCTTTTCAAAGTTTGAATTTTCAAAGTCAGAGTTACACAGAGGAAGAGATAGAATCATGTCCTCTACTGGTGCACTCCTCAAATAGTTGCAATAGCCAGGGTGAAGCTAAGAGTTCAGGGACCCAAGCACTTGTACTATATTCCACTGATTTCCCAGACACAGTAACAGAGAGCTGGATTGTAACTGGGGTAGCATGGCCTTGAACTGACATAGCAGGTGGTGTTTTTACCTGTTGCGCCACAATGCTAGCCCCAATAAATCTGAAAATATACAAATTAAATTATTTTAGTTATTTTCATCCACTTGAAAGAATGTCAGTGAGAGCAGGAGAGAGTAATATCTTCCATTCTTTGATCTGCTGCCAAATTTCCTGAACCATTAGTAGTAGACCAGTCTGAAGCAAAATGTCTGCAATGATATCTAGACTTTTCAAGTGTATATTCAGGTATTTCAAGTGAGTGGCAGAGTTGCAAGCACTTGAAGCATTATTCACTGCCTACAAGGATATATGATCAGCAACCTATATTGGAAACAGAGTAGCCGAGGCTCAAACTAGCACAGTTATGGGAAGCAGCCATCTCAAGCAGTGGCTTGACCCACTTGCCCAACTTAAAAAATATTTAAGGTACTTAAGAATATTTTTGAATATTGGGAAAACTATTGTAAAAACCACCAAATGATCATAAATGAATAACGTCTACTGATGTTAAATCCATGCAACTAAGATAACAATAAACTTGCTTTTCAACAAGCATTCCAAAAGAAACAGTTTGATATGGTTCATGAATTTGGTTACTTTTTTCTCATTGCAGTTGCTAACAGAAAGGATGACCTTATCAAAACCAACCAGAAAAGTGAAGAAGTAAATTTGAGGCAAGTTGTAATTACAAAAGTATCTCAACTCCCAACAGAGTTGAATTCAGAAAAAAAAAAAGGAAAAGATTTAATTTAACCTCAGGACATATTTGTAACCTGATTATATAAAAGGAAAATAGTTTAGGAAAGAAACCTGAAGTATATGACTTATTGAATGTTCTACTCTCTAGGGGACCTGATGAAATACCAGCTGGAGAGAAACCTCATGGACCTAATGTCACTGGGAACTCACTCCAATACTTGGAACATCTTAGTCAACATCACCAGATTCAGAATATACAGCAGGCTTTTGAACACAGTGGCCAAGGGAAATGCTATAACAGGAAGAGACTATCCTTTGAATGTGAGAGGATTTGTGTGGAACACACCTCTAATAAATCAACTGTCATTTCAGGAAACAAAACTCTGGTTGAAAGTAAAAATTTCCATAAAAATGTCTATCTCAATAAATATCAAAAAGCAGGAGAGAATCTCCATGGATCTTTTGAGTATGATGAATCTCTGAATTACAAATCAGATCTTACAATGTATCAGAGAACACATATGGGGTAAACTGTCCATATATGTAAGCACTGTGGGAAGTCTTTCAGCTGTAAATCCTGCCTTACTATCCACCACAGAACTCACATAGGGGAAAATCTCATTGAGTGCATTGAATGTGGGAAAAGCATCTACCAGAAGTCAGACATCACTAAAGACCAGAGCATTGCCACATGGAAAATCTTCATGAATGTAGTGAGTGTGGAAAAGCCTTTTATCAGAAGTCATATCTCGTTAAACACCAGAGAATCCACACAGGAGAGAAACCTTATGAATGTAAGATATGTGGGAGAGCATTTTGCCAGAATTCACAACTTAGTACACATCAGAAAATTCACACAGGGGAGAAACCTTATGAGTGCAATGAATGTGGAAAAGCCTTTTATCGGAAATCACATCTCGTTATGCATCAGAGAACTCACACAGGGGAGAAACCTTACAAATGTAATGAGTGTGGAAAAGCCTTTTCCCAGAGTTCAGTCCTCAATAAACATCAGATAATTCACACAGCAGAGAAACCTTATAAGTGAAATATATGTGGAAAAGCCTTTCGTTGGAAGTCAAGTATCATTATACATCAGAAAATTCACACAAGGGAGAAATCTCATGAATGCAATAATTGTGGAAAACCCTTTTGCCCCAGGACTGCCCTCATTAGCTGTAAGAGAAATCATACAAAGGAGAAACCATGATTGTAATGTGTTGAAAATCATTTTGCCACAGGTCTGCCCTCATTAACTATCAGAATTCACAGAAGAGAGAAACCTTATGAATGTAATATGTGTGGAAAAGCATTTTGCCAGAAGTCCCAACTAATTTTTCATTAGAGCATGCTCACAGGGGAAAAAAAAATCTTATAAATGCAAAGAATGTGTAGAAACATTTTTTCCAGAATTCAAGGCTCAGTAGTCATAAAATTCACACAGAAGGAAACATTTTCAATTGACTAAATATAAAAAGGACATATTTTCCAGGAATACATGTCAGCATACATGATAGAATTCACACAAAGAAGAAAACCATGATAATGGAATCTTTGTGAACAATTACTTTGACAGAAGTCTTCAGCACACATGAGAGAAATCACAGGAGAAAAGATACATGGATATAGATGAAAATTTTCTACCATAGGCCAGCTGTTATTATCAGAGAACTTACAGAGGAAAATCTCTACACATGCAATGGAAGTGGAAAATCCATTTACTCAAAGGCAATCTTCAGCAAAAATTACTGAATTTTGCAAAGAATGCACTGTATACATGTATTGGATGTGAAAAAATGTTTTTGCAAATCAAACTTCAACAGATTTTAGGGTTTTCACAGGAGGAAGTAACAAGGTATGAAGACCTGCTATATGTTCTTCAAAATCATCTTCCTTTGTGTCATACAACCTGCATTTTTAGCTTCCCTACTGTGAGTAGGACAGTGGAAATGAGCTCTGCTTTCACATGTGAGTGTTAATAAATATTGCCTATAATATTTACTTAAGGTGCCATTCTCATTTACAAAGTTACTTGATGCAGATGTTGTGTTGTCTGCCTATGATTTTCCCCCTACATTATTCTGGTACAGAACAGTGTTATGATCACAGTCACATCACCTCACTCATTTACGAGCCATATGCTCTATTTTTAGCTTTGGATAATGAGTATTTTGCCTAGGGTAGGGAGTGAGTCTCCTGTAGTCATGAGTCTCTGAAGCCAGCAGAATCCCAAACTTTACTTTGTGTATGTCTTCTAGACTGCTGCTTTTTCCAGCTTCTGTGCTTTTCCTATTTCTACTTTTTTATTTATGTTTAATTTTATTTGTTAAACAAGTTCATGTATTTCATATTGTACATATTGAGAACTATAGTAGGATTCCCTGCATTCTCCCTCCCCCCACAGTACAATCCTTCCTGCCCCTGCATCTGAGATACCCAGTCTTAATTTTACCATAATCTATTTCCAGTATACTTAATGATCATATAGTTAACCCTGCTCTAGGTAAAGGCATTCAACATGTAGTATGGAGAGAGAGAAACAATACAGAACAGAAGTAAAGAAATACTGTTACTCAATGGAAGAGGCAGGGCTATAAACAGTCCTCAGACCTCAAAATGTCTGTTTCACTCCAATACATTATATTTCAACTATTCTATTAGTTACATTGGATCAGAAGAAACATATGGTATCTGTCTTTTTGAGGTTGGTTTATTTCACTAATTATAATAGGTTCTAATTGCAACCATCTTGTTGTAAAAGACAGGATTTCACATTTTTTACAGTTAAGTAGTACTCCATAGTGTATATACACCATAATTTCTTTATACGCTCCACAGCTGATAAATATTTGGGTTGACTCTGTATCTCTGCTATTGTGAGTTGTGTTGCAGTGAATGTGGGGTTACCGATAACTATTTCAGATGCTGATTTCTTTGGTTTGAGTAAATTCCCAGAGAGGGATGTCTGGATCATATGGTATGTCTATATTCAGCTTTCTGATGTTTCTACATACTGTTTTCCACAGTGGTTACACCAGTTTACATTCCCACCAAGCATCAATCAGGGTACCTTTTCCCCACATCCTCTGCAGCATTTGTCATTTGTTTATTTCAGTACTCAAACCATTCTAACTGGAGTGAGGTGAGACTCTGGTTTTGATTTGTATTTTCCTGTTGCTAGTGATCCTGAGCATTTTTCAAAAATGTGTTGGCCATTGGAATTTTCTCTCTTGAGAAACTCATTTTTAAGTCTTTTGCCCATTTATTCATGGGATTGTTTGTTTTGTTGAATTTTTTTAGCTGTTCATAGATTCTGGATGTGAACCTTTTCTCAGTTGCATAATTTGCAAATATTTTCTCCCATTCTATGGGTTGTCTCTTCTGTTTGCTGAGTATTTCTTTTTTATTGCAGGAGCGTCTCAGCTTGATGTAATCCCAGTTGTCAATTGTGGCTTTGATTGCATATGTTTTGGGTGCCTTTTCCAAGCAGTCTTTGCCTGTGTCAATGTCTGTAGAGTTTTTCCCATGCTTTCTAATGATGTGGTGGTTTCCAGTCATAGATTTAGGTCTTTGATCCATTTTGAGTGGATTTTTGTTTAAGGTGTAAGATTGCATCTTTTTCAGATTTAGATATTAAGGTGATGCAGGTTTCATAAAAGGAGATTGGGAGGGTTCCTTTCAATTGTTTCGAATAGCTTGAGAAGAATTGAGATTAGTTCTGCTTTAATGTCTGGTAGAATTCAGTGGTGAAACCATCTGGTCTGGGCTTTTCTTTATTGGGAGAGTCTTTATTATTGATTCAGTTTCCATCTTGGTTATTGGTCTGTTTAGGTTTTCTATATCATCATGACTCAATTTTCATAGGTTGTATGTTTCTTGAGATCTATCAATTTCTTCTAGGTTTCCTAGTTTATTGCCATGCATAATAATTTCTGATGACACTTTTTGTTTCTGTGGTATCTGTTATATTTATTTTTTGTCTGATTTTGTTGATTTGGGTCTTTTCCTTTTGTTTATGGTTAGTTGTGCCAATGGTGTGCCAATTTTTGTTTATTTTTTTCAAAAAACAGCTCTTCATTTCACTGTGGTTTTTTTTTTTGTATTTTTTGTTTCAATTTATTGTTTTTCTAGTTTCTTGGGATGCATAGATAGCTCCTTTATATGGTACTTTTCCAGTTTCTCTATGTAGGCACCAACTGTTACACCAGTTATTACAAACTTTCCTGTACTGCATATGTTTTGATATGTGTTGTCACCTTCATTTATGTCTAGAAATTTTATTTATTTTTTATTCTGTTACCCACTGTTCTTTCAGCAGCATGTTGTTCAGTCTCCATGTGTTCTATAGGAACACATCAACTAAATACCTTTGCAGTCCTGAGATTTTCCCAAAAAGAACATAAATGTGAGCAGCATTCAAATACCACCCAAAACTCCAACTCATTTGAATATCTGATTAGGAATTGCCTCAGAACCATCCCAACTCTAGAAAGGGAAAACACCCAATCTTGTATTGCAACAATCATTTTATTCTTAGGTTGCTCACCCTCTTATCTGGGAGTGTTCTGTTCCTTTTATCATTAATTTACTTCTGTTCCTGGAATTTCCTCACATTTGGCAATAGGAAATTGGAGTACAATCTAGTTTTGGAATTCCTTCTTTAATGTAGACACTAGTACAGAGCTTCAGGGTTGTCTGATATGGTAGCTTCAGATTCTGTTTCTCTTTTTCATTACTTTTTCATTATCCTCTCCCTTCCAGGTGACCCTCAGTCTTTTTTTTTTTTTTTTAATCTCTGTGAATTTCCCAACTCACAAAGTTTTTTCTGGCTGGACTCTAACTGGATTTACATTCAATTCCTATCTCATCTTGTGCCCATTCAAAGTGGACACTTCAACCATATGGAAAGGCCATTTCTATTTCTAGGTGACTGGAATACAAATGTGATAACAGATGCTCTGTTGGCAGGTCCACCTTTTAAAATTTTTTTAAAGATTTATTTTATCTATTTGAAAGGCGGAGTTACAGAGAGGCAGAGGCAGAGAGAGAGAGAGAGAGTTCTTCCATCTGATGGTTCACTCCCCAGATTGCTGCAACAGCTACAACTGTGCCAATCTGAAGCCAGGAGCCAGGAGCTTCTTCCATGTCTCCCACATGGGTGCAGGGGCTCAAGCACTTGGGCCATCTTCTATTGCTTTCCTAGGCCATAGCAGAGAGCTGAATTGGAAGTGGGACATCTGGGACTTGAACCAGTCCCCATATGGGATTCTGGCACTATAGGTACCAACTTTATGCATTACACCACAATACCAGCCCCATCTCTACCTTTTTTATTTAGTATCCTGAGGACAGTCTTACAAGTGATTCTCTCCACTTAAAATGCAACAAGTTGAGACACTGCATTGGCCCTGGGCATAGCCCATGGGGATATTCTAATGCTATTCATGAACTGCAAACCTCAAATCCAAAAATAAACATTTTAAGGGAAACCTATGCTTGCATTGAAAATATAATCCAAATAATGGCAAAATTGTAATATTATTCCAGAAAGTGTTGACTTTAAGATCAAAGCATTTTTAGAAACAGAACATTCAGTATTGATAAAGGATTCAAACTATCAGGATGATTTAAGTATTATAAACAGTGTTTGCTGACCCAACTGAATCCTACCGTAAATAAAATTATTTTGGGTAGTGTAATGCGGTAGACAAATCATAGTGGGAGACACAGTCACCTCTCACTGTGGGATTTAGACAGATATCTAATATGTGGACATGCAACCATGTCAATTATTATCATTCAAAGTACAAGCTCCAAATATTTGCTTTTGTTGATTTTTTTTCCCACCAAGCCAGCAAAGTATAATCCATAAACACAGGAACTATCCCACATTAAAGGAGAAGTTAAATTCTAAGTACATGAGAGTTTGCCAGAGTCCATGCTCTGTACAACCCTGGGAATTATGTGTTGGGTCTATTACTGGTCCCATCCTGGAGCCTCTTTCCAGAAGAGTAGGCTTTTACTGGCTGCAGTAACCACACTTTTCTACATAGAGTCATCTTTGGGTAGTCAGGGGACTTCCAAATTCCAATGAGAATTAGCTCACAAAGGGATGGAAGTGTGTATTTGAGTGAACTTGGGAACATTCTAATAGAGTAAGAGTTAACTGTGTAGTCTCAATTCTGGGTCTCAGTTCTTGAGTCTGCAAACTTCAGGAATGAGATGAGGAAGATGGAAGAGTGAATGGAGATGCTATGATGTATTGTGCAAATTAAAGATTATTTTGATGCAAAGAAACATGAAACTACATGTAGTATTTCATAATATATTTTCACATATACTTATTAACTAGCCCCATATTTTTTTTTATTTGACAGAGTTACAGACAGTGAGAGAGACAGATAAAAAAGTCTTCCCTCTACTGGTTCACTCCCGAAATGGTCGCTACGGCCGGCGCTGCACTGATCCGAAGTCAGAAACCAGGTGCCTCTTCCTGGTCTCCCATGTGGGTACAGGGCCCAAACACTTGGGCCATCCTCCACTGCCCTCCTGGGCCACAGCAGAGAGCTGGACTGGAAGAGGAGCAACCGGGACTAAAACCGGTTCCCATATTGGATGCTGACACCACAGGCGGAGGATTAACCAAGTGAGCCATGGCACCGGCCCCTAACCCCATATATTTTTAACATTTTTGCATAGTAAACCTATATTTTTGTTCCATTTTCCACAAATGTATTTAACTATGGGGGATATAAACATTCTGTCCATAACCTTACAGGAAGATGCATTTGTTGTGATAATAGTTTGAGCCGTGGTGGGTGGATGTTCATGATGAAAAGCTACAATAGGACAGCAAGAGAAAAACAGGAAACATAAATTCCCAGGGAATGGAGTCACTCACAGACAAGAGGGAGTTGACTCCTGGTGAAAAAAATCTTCACTGGTCATTAGAAGGGCACAGATGGTAGCAACCTCTGCAAGGTTTATCTTTTAGGCATAGAAGGATTCCCATTTTGGGGGGAGTTCAAGAACTATCCCAAGACCTTAAACAATTTTGTAAAACTTAAGCAATATTGAATCTGGAAGACTGTTTTCCAACTTACTCTGAAATCCAGTGGCTTTAAGTGTACATAGCTAGTAAAGCCGATATTGATGTCTATGTTACTGTTGTAGCTCAGGACTCGAGAAGCCATAATGTGGAATTTTGGTCCAAAGATGTGATGAGAGGAATTCTATTGCAAATAGGTTTTAAAACACTTTTCCAGCCGGTGCCATGGCTCAGTAGGCTAATCCTCCACCTTGTGGCACCGGCACACCAGGTTCTAGTCC